AAAAGGTTTTTAAAAAACTAGGCAAAGATAAGAAGCAATATCTGGTGAATGATAGAGAGTCAAGGAAGAGGTGTGTTTAGTTTTTACAGAGAGCAGGTGAGTCTCGTCCAACCGTCAGCAAAAGAAGGGATCCAGGACTCAATGAAAGGTTGGCTTTGGGCCCAACCATGAGCCCATTTGTTCATGATTCACATAGAAAAGACACCCTCTTCTGGTGACTGGTGGGGAGAGCATCTCTCCATGACCTTCTTAGAGATTCCCACCCATTTCCTGCTGGCAACCACTCTCCTTTCCATAGTTTTGCACCAAGCACGACAGAGGCTCCCCCAGTTCCCAAGGCTGATCACCACAGAGCCTTTGAGTGAAATGAGAATTTGTGAAAACCTGATTATTAAGGATGGATGGATGCTGTGCAGAAGTGCCCGAAAATAAAATTAGAAATCAGAGTGCACTTCCTTGGACTTTCAACGAGGACTGTTTTCTTGACTCCCATCCTGTCCACCTGGAGAGCAACACTTGGTCCAACTCCGTGTTGCCACTCAACTGATAACAATGCATGAGGCAGTGCTTCCCCTCAAAGACTGTTTGTAAGTGACTTAGACAAAGTCCTCCCCTGTGGAGGTTTTGTAGCCACGTGGAAAATTAGAACGTGACCCACACGATTGAGTGAGAGGCATGGACAAAAGGAAGTGAGCACTGGGGCAGCGTGGAGGAGGGAGGGGTCGCTTCCTGTGGGGATCAGGAGTGGTGTCCCGAGGAGGAGGTGCTCTGGTGGGGACTGGGGGAGGGAGGCTAGTGTTGGGAGTGCTGTGGATCAGGCGAGGGCATGCAGGATGGGAGAAGCAACAGCAGAGTGCACCTTTTAGGAAAGCACAGGGAGGACTGAGGAGCTCAGGTGACTCTAAGGGCACCAAAACCTGAAAAGCACAATGGGTCCCCCAAGGGGGTCCCTGAAGTTCACAGAGGAGCCTGAACAGGCCCTCCAGGATTTCAGAGATGGGCCTGTGTGACCAAGCACCGTGCAGTAACCAACAGGACAAGAGGTCGAGATTCTGAGTCTAATGTGATTTAATTTTATTTAAATGTCACATCTTTGTGAAGGACGCACTTCGACGCATCATCAGTGACAGCAGCCTCTTCATCTCCAATTGCTATATTCTGCAGCATTTGATTCCTGGCAAGTGACAGTAGTTGCCTATTGGTTTTCTACCTTCAGAGCAACGAAATGCCATGCAGATTCCACCTTTATCATTGCAAGTAGTAACTCTAAACCGAGCAAAACCTAAAATGAAAATAAAAAAGGTAAGAGAGTCAGACATCAAAGCCCCATTTCAGAGAGGCCATCTGTGTCAGAGTTTCCTGGAGTGAAACCTCTGGCGGGGGTTACGCTATCAAGGTGAAAAGAGGTGAGGCTGTGATGCTAGGGTCCAGTTTTCCGACAGAGACTAGAACTGCTGAGGTTGTAGAGGATTCTTGTGTTTCCAGAATCAGTGCGGGACAGGCTCTGAGCGGTGGCTGTGGGACAGGACAGGCGGACAAGAGTCTGTACCATTTCAGTTCCTCCAAAAGAGTGAGTCACCAGGAAGTCAAGGTGACACTGGGCCAGTGCTCTTAGGATGGGACACAGCCAGCAAGGGTCAGTGTTTATGTCTTCATTTTCTCCATCATTTCCTCAGTGAAGTATTTGAGCTGAGATGCCTCTTCCAGTGCAAGGATTGGTTAAGGAGAACTTAATATCTAAGTAACTCACAATGGAAAATAAGGATAGTTTTAAAAATCTCTTTCGTGCCCTAGCCAGTTTGGCTCAGTGGATAGAGTGTTGGCCTATAGGCTGAAAGGTACCAGGTTTGAATCTGTCAAGGGCACATGCCCAGTGGGGGGCATGCAGGAGGCACCTGATCTATGATTCTCTCTCATCATTGGTGTCTCTTTCTCTCCTCCCTTCCTCTCTGAAATCAATAAAACATGTGGAAAGAAAACTTTTGTGATGGTGTCTCTAATCTCTGAGAACTCTCTGCTGGTCCGGCTCTCACAGGCCCTGGCCCTCCCGGGAGGCTCCCTTCAGTCTTTCCCGCCTTCCCTCTCATCTTCCTGCTCCTCCCATGTCCTAGACCATGTCCCCTCCACCTCCTTCCCTGGTAAGGCTTGTCTTGGAATACAGCCAAGAAGAAGACAGATAAAACAAGAGCTTTCCAACATAATTTAAGGTCTACTCCTTACCTCCTGCTTCTCCCTCCTTCCTCTCCTTTTGGTCTGTTTCCCTTATACGAAAGAGCCCGGACAATGCTGGCATCCAGGTTTCAGAGCCGCCATGCATGGGCTGCCTGGCCCTGAGCCAATAGCAGCCATGGCAGGAGTGTGTTGAAGGACCTTCGAGCTGGGAAGACGGGGCACAGAGGTGCCCCAAACAGTGGCTCCCCAGTCGAGGCTGGGCCTTGCTATTCTCTGGGTTACCAAGGACTCCTCACTTTAGTATAAAGATCTGTACAGTGATACTCTGCACTTCTGGGCTGGAACCAAATCAATTTTTTTTTTTAAAGAAAGAGTGGAAGTGAGGGAGGAGTGTGGAGGAGAGAGAGGGAGAAAGAGAGAGAGGGAGATCAATGTGAGAGAGATACATCAATTGGTTACCTCCTGCACGTGCCCTGTCCCGGGCCAGCGATCAAGCCTGCAATCAAGGTATGTGGCCCTGACCAGGAATTGCCCTGCAACCCTTCAGTTAAAGGACCAACGCTCTAACCACTGGATAACTAGCTAGGGAAGTGGTTGGAAACCTGCAGCTCGGCAAACTGCGGCTTGTGAGCCACATGCTGCTCTTTGGCCCCTTGAGTGTGGCTCTTCCACAAAATACTGACCGTTCAGTCTCTTGGATCGAAAGTGTGTGTAGAAGGAGTAGAGAGAGGGAGACGGAGATAGAGAGGGAGAGAGGGAGGGGGACACAGAGAGAGAAGTCCTGTGATGTCCATCTGTCCCCCTCTTTTACCTGGGACAGGCAACAGGAACACGAAGAGGAACGCAAGCAGGAGAAGTTGGAGCCTCATGGTGAGCCAGGAGCTGAGCCGCTGACTGAGGGAGCTGTGCTTCACTCCTTAAAAAGGGCCCGGGTTGGCCGCAGCCTTGGGAACCCAGAGCAATTAAATTGTTCCTCTCGCCTGTCCTGTGTGTCACAAGAAGGGCCTCAGAGCCCAGGGCACACCCATCATTTCATGCGAGTCCAGACGGGAAAACCCCAGGGGACCCGCCTTTCTATCTTTCTGGATGAGGCCAGGCTTTTCCGTGTGGGAAGCGACTTCCTGGAGCTCAACTGCCCTCCTGGGGCCTTGGAATTTGCCTTTCTGGCATTTGCTGAGTGTCTGGGGACAGTCAGGCCACATCAGGAACCAGGCCGGTGTCGCTGGGAGGGACAGGAGATGCAGGGGCCCGAGCCGCCCTGGGTGCCCATGGAGGGTGACATTCAGGGGCAAGCTCCTAAAGCTTAGCATTGCCCCTGTGGTGGGTGAGGGGGCAGGTAGGTCCTGTGTCTCTTCCTCAGCTAAAGGAAGGGGGTTGCAATGGGGACAGACCCAGCTCCTCAGTCTCCATGTCACAAAGCAAAGACGGCCTTGGGGTCACTGGGACACTCAGCCACATCCAGCTCTCCTGTATCAATGCCCGAGAAGCCATGGTTTGTGCTCTTCTCAGACCCATCGGAGCTGATCTCTCATGGCCCTGAGACTGGGGATCCTGGGGGATGCCCTGTGGGAACAGCAGCTGCCCCAGGCCCTCCCCGTCATTGGTGGGACCCTATTCTGAAGGCAGCCAGGATCGCAGGCTCTGTGAGATTTGCCGCTGTCTCCCACAACCTCACCCTTGCTCTGAGACCCAGAGAAGGCAACAGTGGCCCTGAGACTGGACCGAGTCCAGCGCCCCACGCTCAGGGGGTAGCTTTTTCAGAGACAAAAGCAAGTGCCTTCATGATGAGTCCTTCCTCTTTAGTCCAATGATGTTCAAGAGCAATAGACATGTTTACCTACATTATAATCTCCTGCAGAGAATACACTCAAGTGTTGCTTATCGATTTGGTTGGCAACACTCCCTAATCCAGGGTGTTTTTTTTCCATTTATGAATTTATTCTTTTTCCCTTTCTTTCTTTCTTTCTTTCTTTCTTTCTTCTTTCTTTCTTTCTTTCTTTCTTTCTTCCTCCTTCCTTCCGTCCTTCCTTCCTTCCTTCCTTGCTTCCTTCCTTCCTTTCTTTCTCCTCCTCCTTCCTTCCTTCCTTCCTTCCTTTCTTTCTTTCTTTCTTTCTTCTTCTTCTTCTTCCTCCTCCTCCTCCTCCTCCACCTCTTTCTTTCTTTCTTTCTTTCTTTCTTTCTTTCTCCTTCCTTCCTTCCTTCCTTCCTTCCTTCCTTCCTTCCTTCCTTCCTTCCTTCCTTCCTTCCTTCCTTCCTTCCTTCCTTCCTTCCTTCCTTCCTTCCTTCCTTCCTTCCTTCCTTCCTTCCTTCCTTCCTTCCTTCCTTCCTTCCTTCCTTCCTTCCTTCCTTCCTTCCTTCCTTCCTTCCTTCCTTCCTTCCTTCCTTCCTTCCTTCCTTCCTTCCTTCCTTCCTTCCTTCCTTCCTTCCTTCCTTCCTTCCTTCCTTCCTTCCTTCCTTCCTTCCTTCCTTCCTTCCTTCCTTCCTTCCTTCCTTCCTTCCTTCCTTCCTTCCTTCCTTCCTTCCTTCCTTCCTTTCTTTCTCCTCCTCCTTCCTTCCTTCCTTCCTTCCTTTCTTTCTTTCTTTCTTTCTTTCTTTCTTTCTTCTTTTTATCCTCTCCTGAGGATATTTTTTCATTGATTATTAGAGAGTGGAAGAGATGGGAAGAGACAGAGAGAAACATCAATGTGAAAGAAATACATGGATTGGTTGCCCCTGCACATGACTTAACCAGGGCCCAGGCTGGGGAGGAACCTGCAACCGAGGTACATGCCCTTCTGTCCACAGGTCGATGCTCTATCCACTGAGCAACACTGGCCAGGGCCAATGTCATTTCTGATGAGTGCGCTAAGGGGACTTGGGAGGAAGGAGTAGAATCTGGCCATGCCCCTCTGTCATTTAAACGCCTGGTCGACAGATCCTGGTGACACCTGGCAGGGAAGTGCTTTCAGAAAGCAAGGTGCCTCTGGGTGTGGGGATGGCGGTGGCCATCTCAGGGGGAGTTTCGATGACTGTGACCAAGGCGGTGGCCAGTGCTGAGGGAAGTTGTGAAGGAGTTCCCATCCAAGGCCTTGTCCCCACGAGTCACCGTGAGTCACGTCCCTGGTGGCCACTTTGTTTCCGTGTGTGGAAAGCAGATTTGCATGGAGCAGTCACTACAATCCTGACCCTAAACTGTTCCTTTCTGGCTGGTAAGGGGACTGCCGGGGTCCAGCCCCAGCAGGTCCAGGGGTCCCCAAAGGTGTGGAGGGAGTCGGCGAAGAAGGAATGACACGGAGACAGCGTTCAGTTGATCAGCAGCCTTGCCAGGAGCTCTAGCCACAATCTCCAGCCAAGTTCTGTAGGCAGGTTCTTTCCAGGATCTTTTGCCATGTTCGCTCCAGCGAAGTTCTTCTGTCTCTAGGTTCTATGTAGGTTCTGTCTTCTATGTTCTGTGTTCTAAGTTCTCTCTCTAGGATCTTCATCTAAGTTCTGTCTCCTGTTGTCTTGTTGCATCTGTATTTATACCAGTTGATTCTAATCCTATCAATCTCTATTCCAAAGGTTAGGGCATTTCTTATCTCCATTCCAGGGAGTAAAGATTATGTAGCTTAAGCGTGATTGTTCGTAGTTAAAGTGATTAATTACCCACCTGGCACTTAGTTAAGAGGTTTTATTCCCTCCCTAACTTCAGGGAAAAATCCCTACCTGGGGAAACAACCTTTCTCGGAGAGGTGACCTTGGTTAAAACACATAGTGCCAAGAAGGTGAGCAAACATATTAAGAACAGTATGCCATATATGCCAGGTCCCTTGAAACAGCAAGGATGGACCGGCTCCCGGCAGGGGACGGACTGAACAATTGAGTGTGAGAGAGATTTAGTATTAATATGTGTCTGTTGAATTAACCACTTTATCATTGGGGAAAATACCCCTGTTTATCTTTGGTAATACTCTTCATCCTAAAATCTATTTTGATTTATAGCCAAGTAGCTAATAGAGTCCATTTTATTTTCTTTAGATTAATATTTCCATAGTATATCTGTTTCCATCCTTCATTTTTAATCTGTCTCTTTATATTTGATATCTCAAATGGTGTTTTATTTTTAAATACACAATGTGCATCTGAGTCTCA